CATTCCTAGAGAAGCATGTGAATTTGTGGATTGGCTGAATGAAACGATTCAAGGCCGACTTGGACAGGGCAGTATTCAAATTTTCAAGGTTTCCGCCCATTGTAATTGAAGGGGGACTTGGGTAAATGCTTATTCAGCGTGTGAGGTAATACATGCGGCTTGGTGCAATCATCCCTTCATGAAATCATGTATATATCTGATGCAAACGAAACCAAAGACAGCTAACGACTAATTCAGGGATTTTAGATTAGCAAAATCAATACTTCAGTCTACCATATACAAACATTTTCAAGACGAAACACGATACACCAGTAATAATCAAATCTTGCGATGAATGTGTTTTGTTAGGCGGATTAGTTCGTTTCACCAATTTTCTAAACGTACCTATGGTTTTGTTGTCCGTCAAATTTAGTTGGTGTGAAGAATTTCCCGTTAATATGACGAGTTCCTCCATGACATTCACTTCATTCACGATCGAGAATTTGTGGCGATTTAGTTAGACTTCTAAGCATTGTAACTTTATTTATTTATTTTGATTACAGCTTGATCCACACTGTATTTTTGGTACAAGTATGGAATTTTCAGCGTAGATATCGGTAGCCCGAATTTCGTAGGCCGACCATAGATATCAGGTGTGCGTTCGCGTGGGCTCAAACCCCGGACCATGTGCATGGTCGGTGAGAGTCCTAACCACTCTGCCACCCTTAGCTCATCCGCACCGATTTGAAATGAAAACCAAAGGAATGACATTAAAAGACACGCTTCAACCAAAACCAGTCAATATATCCAAACCAAGTTCAGTTTTAATAGTTTTAAACAATTTGGACATTGTGTAAATGATATTCACTGTTGTAGAAGCTTTTGTATTTCATAATCTCATTTTGTCTGTAAAACAAAGTACTTCGAATACAAAACGATAGGCATCAAACAAACCCGACAAGAAATCAAGATCAGAAAAAATGAACACCTTAGAGCATCTATTCGACCAGCGAGAAATCTAGTAGAACTAGAAAAGCGTGAAAAATCATCAGTCATAGGTCCACAAGCTACAAGGTCTACAGGCCACAAAACTGATGTGGAAAATACTGAAATCATCCAGAAACACCTCAGAAATCATAAAGAACGACTGATATCAGAATTTAACCTTGTTGCAACAGCCACCTCCCCCATGAAATGACAAACTCAACACAAATATGATAGCAGTTTCATTATATGAAAATACATTATGTTTTTATAATCAAATGCGCTTATCAAATCCAACAATATACACGTGGTTTTGTTATCTTTACCGATTGGCCAACTTGACGACGTAGAAAACTACCTCATGCTGTAAAAAGACGATTCGCTTACTGCATATAGGCTGAGATTCTGTAAACTCTGGCCTGATATTACTTTGATAATTCGGTGGGTGGTGACTAGCAGTGGAATCTAGTATGTGCATTTCATCCAATCTAGACTCATCGGCTGTATGAACCTGCACTCCTCAGTGAGTGACGGTGTTCCCACAGGAGCTCCGAGGCATTACTCATTAATTCAAATGTCGAAGCGTAATCTACTGGGCCACTTGTGTCACGAGAGCTACCTCTTCTGCAACGGTCGTCAATTATTACTTATTTTAGATCAATTTTGATTCCCTGTAAACGGACTGAACTTCAAGTTAATCCTCGGACGTATTCGAAGCATCCGAAGGAGGAGTCGACACGCCAACATAGGCCGAACATTTCGATTCATTTGATCAATGGGAAAATACAGACTGAAATAAAAATAAATTATACTTCGATGAAGCTATCAGCGAAATGACAATGACAAAAATACAGTTTGTTTTTCATTCAGGAAGAAATATAAAGATTTTCTTAGCAGTCTCCTGATAACCTAGACAACATCCAGTATTCATTCCATAAATTATGTATATTCCGTATGGCATGACGAAATTTGCTACCTCGAATCTATACTCCGACATTACCGTTATCAATGCACTTCTAGTTGCGTCACTGAAGTCAATTAAAAGGAAGTCATGCTTCAACCCATCTTATCCCTGTTATCCTCAAATATTTTGAATTGGTTCTCACCAGTGGATGAAATATTATGCACCACAAATTGTAGTGACCTGTATGTATGACTACTCCATTAATAGCGAAAAATTTAGCAACGCTTACAGGTATGGTGATAAAGTAATACTAAAAGCACTTCGCTTCCCTCGTAAGTAGCCAAATTGAACAAACTGAATAAGACAACGGGATAGCAAATACAAGCTTGCTCCACCCTATACTCAATGAATCACTACTTGGCCTGTTAATGTTGACTTGCGAATACATTGGTTACCATCAGACCATAATCTAGAGTTCAGTCTTCCATGTTGCTAAGTAGAACGTGTTTGCATCGCAACGTCACCACCTAGTTCGATGACTTGATAGTTGTTTTGAGAAGACGCCTTCCTGCCAGAACTATTGGGAAGCCGCTTGAATAGTTCACTGGCATGTTGCTTGTTGAGTTATGATGGAACAACAGAGTTCCGCTACCTTCGATTTCTTCACAGGGATATAAGGAACCTTCACGGGTTTCATGGAGAATTACAATGAATATATCTGTGTTTACTTAGACTTGGGTGCTGAGCTGGTTTAGCTGAAGGAAAATTACATCTCATCTGGAGATTTTGTCAGACACATTTGTTCAGAATTATATTGTGTGAATTGTTAGGCTTCATCTGATCTTGACAAATTGTGAAGATCAAGTTATCGAGATATTCGTCGTCCTTGCATGTTTCTGATCATTTTTCGGATGTATTATCGTTATTTGGGTAGGAAGCTTTGAAATGTCATTGCCTCTTCTTTCCGATGTGCTGTATTCTCCCTCTGGTATATATACGCATTGACGAACATATTATATAATGCTATTGGCTTATCGAGCGATGATTTCGCCTGTGTTTCTGACATGCTTTTGACATTGTCTGTTTTAACTTCTTCAGTATTCATCGTCTTAATTTATCGTCTACAATAAGTCCTTAATTGTGGAGGTCGGAGAATTTCTCTTATCTGTGTGCTATACGGTAACATAATCTGATGTGCTCCTACGCAGTGTCACTGTCGTTGAATCATTGCTCACTTGATCTGTCACAGTAAACGGGATTCCTACTACATAAACAACAACAGCTCATAGAGGATCCTGAAACTCAGATACAACATTCAATGAGGACATGCATGTAGGGTGTAACATGAACACAGAACTCAGTCAAAGATGTTTCCTCCAGTTTCTGTTTCAGTTATACTCATTTGAGAAATGAATTGTGCCTGAGTTGTCGTTCAGCGAGTATTACTGTGTTACTAATCTACTTTATGTAGTGGAATAAGTGACACTGAAGTTTCCCCATGAGACCCACACTTCAAAACCTGTAGGGTGTAATTCCTCTTATCAACCACGTGAATATGCATACGCCACAAGTGACATTAGCAGAATGCATTATTTCCTATCTTACTGTTTACCTTAAGACTATCTAATGAGATCAAGTCAGGAAAATATTAAACACCTCTACCTTTCCTCCAGAAAACCCTTCATTCGCGAGCAATTTGACTGTGAGCACGATGAGGGGAATAATCAGACCCCGTTTGTGCACTTCATATGTGATAGAATGTGCTGCAGTGTTTGTAATATAGATGGGAATAGATAGATAACACTGTGAAACACATTACTAAGTTGTTGAAAATGTGGAGAAATCTAAGCTAAGCCCAATAGACTGCTGTATTCAATGAGAATTAACTAAAATGTGTATGTTTCCATATTTTTCGTCTAGTCTGAAACGTGTAGAAATTTGAGGCAGCATTTGCATTGCCGCTCGTCTCCATGATCCCTTATAGTTGACCAAAATGCATTATAACATACAATATTGCAAACGCGACTGCCTATATGTCATTAACTCCAAGACTATCATGCAAAAAACAATCGCAACACTGTCATTGCGCTATCCCTCGTTATATATATATATATATATATATATCCAGCAACAGCCTAGTTTCCATCCCCAAGAGAAAAATTCGGATTAAATGGTCTCGATGAGATATCTTGCTGTGCTGATGCCACCACTTTTATATTTCACAGTAAGACTGAGAATTACACAGGGATTCCGAGTTGAACACATGAGCGCTGACCACGAATACCGCTTGACTACACCAACAACATTATGCCACAGCTACTTATTCCTCAACCCGCTCTACTTAGGCGAGAACATACAACGACGTGAGCCAAAAGACATATTTCAGAGTCCACCACAGCACATCTTTGCGAAATAGTCTATGATTCAACAAATCATCAAGGTTATACTGACTAGTCTATATTCATGACCAATAAAAAGGTGGGCGCAATTTTACGAAGGCCAATCCTGATCGGTTGATTTCCAGACTCACCTCGGACACCGAATCACCAATAAGGCATAATACATCGTTTATCTATCGACATATGACTCCTTTAGAAAAGACGTATTGATTGGGGTTGACATGGAACAGCGTCGTCTATTTTCTGTACCTGTGTGACCGACTTTGAGGGAGTGGTCTGTTGTTTACTGGAAGCTCTGAAGCATTTATGGCTTCCTTCTCATCAGGGCGTGAGAAGCTTTGTCAGGCTTGATAACAACTTGGTGTTCAAGACGTCGAAATTTGGCGTCTACTTGTGGTGATGAAGCTCCTGAATCAGGTCTCTTTTGTTGGGATACGAGTGTAGCGCCCCATGGGGACGTAGAGTTTGAACACTGATGAATGTTTGGTGGGCAGGTGCTTATTGGGAAAGACGTCTGTGGCTACTCGTCGACGATAACCGCTGTGTTGCCTGCATATCACTTAATAAGCCTAAGAACTTTACCTTCACTTATCTTTAGAGTAGACAGTCATGGACGGTGTTCATCTAGTTGAACCTCTTCACTGACAGCTAAATATGCAGGCCTCTGGCGCGCATCATTCATTCACAGAATATGCCCAAACCACTGAGTCTTTTATTGCCACAGGAAACTATATGAATAAATAACTGTTTATTTTACCAAAACATCAAACACGGTTATCTTTAAGTGTACAGGCTTTCTGATATTGTTCTCTGAATGTCTTTAAGTCATTAAATAGTTCCGTAGCTGTATATTTTGAATGGTCCAACACGAGGTAATCGACAACCTATTATGAACAAAAAAAGAAATAGATGAAAAAGGATGCTGACATACAGAGAATTTTACTCGAAGAAGATATAAATCTTCGCTCCGTGGATGTGTGCGTGCATGTATACATCGATTACGTTAGATGATAGCGATTTCGGACTACAAAGGTTGTCTACACTTAACACTGCATTGATACTAGTAGGTATCCTATTCACCCCGAACTCCACTCATGGTTTTCATGAGGAAATCGCTATCCTGTTGGCATAGCTTGACAAACCAAACTTCACAGTCAAACAACCATTAGCCAAGGGGATAGATAATTCATTGTACGTATAGGCAGTCTCGAGAGTGCTACACACCTACTAGCTTATTCACCATACCTACGATTAATTCACCTGAGATTCGATACGATACGAAGTGATCAATAACAAATATTGCGGTTGGCACTGAAGTTATTTGATTACATTTTAATCTCTACTTGTAGTTTGTACTAGATGAAATGCTGTGAGGTCTTGAATTGATCGCCGTTGTTTTGAAATGTCAGAGAAAACACATCCACTCACGGGTGAACAAAAGCAAGTAACGTGATGATATTCCCTCCTACCATCATAAAAATAAAAGTACAGACGTTAAATTCACAGAAAGTTTGTCTGTCCAATAATGATGAGTGAGTTATGGAGTAATTGAAAAGTGCTCTGTGTGATGAAAACTTTTATCGCCAGTTTCCATGTAAAGTGCGTCGGTAGCACAGTGGTTAGGACTCTCGCCGACCATGCTCATGGTCCGAGGTTCGATCCCCTGCCGACGCACACCTGATATCTATGGTCGACCTGCAAAATTTGGGCTCCCGATATCCATGCTGAAAATTCCATACTTGTACGAAACATACAGTGTGGAATCAAGCTGTAAATCAAAATTTAAAAAAAAAAATAAAATAAAGTAGAAGAGTGACCAAAACCGCTTACCTCGCTATATCTTTTGGTAAATGACCTGTGTAATTCACCCAGTATTCTGAGCTCTTCTTGTGCATGAGGTAGAAACTTTCCCATTACTAAACCGAAACATATATTAGCCTTAATTGCTTCACATGTAGAATCTGAATGTGACTTTTGCACACAATGTGGGACTGCACCAATACCACGTAAATCTATTTCCAGGCGAGCAACGTCACGCTTCATTTCAACCAAAGTCTCCTCAATTGTTTTAGCACAGTATAAGCTTTGCGCAGAGTCTAATGTAGGTATTTCATTCGCCCATAAGTGAGCTTCCTTCGTAAAGCTGTAAAATATGATAAAAAGTCAGAAACTTATGAAAATTATGAACTCCAAATGACGTGTTAACTCAGCATTCACTATTTATCAACTCAAAGAAAGATCGAGTGATGTCAACAAATTGTATTTACAGGGCAACGTGCGTATCACCAGATTGAAACACCAATAAATAGATAGACATCCTCTTAATCTCAAAAAGGTGAAAATGCAACTTACGGGACACAGAATAAAGAAGTGGAGTAGATGTAGTTTCAAGGCACAGTCTGGTACAAGGAAGCTTAAAGATGAAGTTCAGAAGTTTCGCATAAACTGGAGATAGACTGTATTACACAAGCGTCAAGACAATCCACCTATATGAATCATAAGCTTGGAGCATCACCAAAACATTTCGAATAGGCTACTGATAAAGTACAATTCGATTTATAATGAAGATCATGTGGCCAGTGAGTAAAGATAAGAAACAAGGAGCTTTGTCGAGTAGTGAACCAGACAACAATTTGAGCCTTAAGTATAGAATTCAACCTACTCCAAGGAGATATACAAATGATGTGACATACTAGCCTATCGAGTGGAGCCAGAATATAGAGAGACGGGGTGGATTACATAGATTTTCTACTCAGATAACGATAATACATCCGAAAAATGATCAGAAACATGCAAGGACGACGAATATCTCGATAACTTGATCTTCACAATTTGTCAAGATCAGATGAAGCCTAACAATTCACACAATATAATTCTGAACAAATGTGTCTGACAAAATCTCCAGATGAGATGTAATTTTCCGTCAGCTAAACCAGCTCAGTACCCAAGTCTAAGTAAACACAGATATATTCATTGTAATTCTCCATGAAACCCGTGAAGGTTCCTTATATCCCTGTGAAGAAATCGAAGGTAGCGGAACTCTGTTGTTCCATCATAACTCAACAAGCAACATGCCAGTGAACTATTCAAGCGGCTTCCCAATAGTTCTGGCAGGAAGGCGTCTTCTCAAAACAACTATCAAGTCATCGAACTAGGTGGTGACGTTGCGATGCAAACACGTTCTACTTAGCAACATGGAAGACTGAACTCTAGATTATGGTCTGATGGTAACCAATGTATTCGCAAGTCAACATTAACAGGCCAAGTAGTGATTCAGTGGGTGTAAGCTAGAGCGAATTGTTCATTTCTTTGCTAAATGTGGATTACTCAGTATCCGATTTCTAGTGGACCCTCACTGATACTGATCTACAGAAATGTAATTTCCGAATACCAGGTATTCATCTTAAAATCAGCTTCATAATAGTGCATCTCCTACTTTTCCTGTGAGCACTTTACACTCAGCAGTCTTCTTTCATATGACAGTCAGTCAACAAACATAGAAAAAGCACTAATTGCTTTAATGATGAGAACGAACGATACACCAAAATAGGTTAATATGTTCGGAATAATCTTCAAACGAAGCAAAGATTAAATGTAGTTGGACAGAGTTTGGTTTCAGATAGTAACTGCAACAACTAAATAATCAAATAAATCGGTTTTTTGAAATGGAAGTCACATTGAATTGCTTACTTGAGCTCCATTAATTCTGCTAAATAGTGGATTAAATTCTTCCGATTAGTCACGTCACGAGTATCAGCTAGTCGGACTAGATTTCTAACTTCAAAGCCAAGGAGCGGTTTCCGTCTCATCGATGCTTGGGTTTTATGGATATCCGAGCTATTTGAATGTGGTAATCGACTGTAGTCTGCAGTCGAACACTGTCCAGCAGCATTTAGGGCATTGATCAAAGCCAACGCACAGGACAGAATTTGGCAAAGTGAGTTCGAATGTCGAATCTCAGAAAGACACAAACATCCAGCATGAAGAGCCTGCCTGACTTGGTCAGCTTGTTTGTCGTAATGAAGAAGCATACGTAAAGCGTGTAGATGTGCAGGAAGTCTATGACGAAGTTGGGAGATGAGGCAGCACAGTTTATCTGACTCGACGAGATTCTGAAATACAGGAAATTACAAAGGTAAATTCGTCGAGTGTGTGACAGGTGCACAAGTATGAATTATGAACACTCTTGTCTATCAGTCAGTAGAAAGACATGTGAACTAGGTGTGAATGTGAATGTTTCATTAAGAGCGACTGAGTAATACTATCACTGCGCATGTCATAGTTACTAAAATCTCGGCTATTGATGGCGTATTCATGGACGCAAACCTACAGAAGCCTAGTAAATTTTGTAGGCCAAGTCTCAGATTATTTCCTGAAATCAGCAGATTGATGACGAGCAGTGAAAGACGCATAATCTAAGTTGACTGGATCTCCAAGACTTGAATATGATTTCGAATAAGACAACTCAGGGACTCGTCACGTCCTCACTCACTGAACTACCAGCCACATCTGATATGTGAGCGCTTGTCAAGGCACCTGCCCGTCCATTTCAAAGCAGGTGAAGTGGCTTTTAAATCTGGGAGGAGTAGGTTGAATGAACTAACAGGAAATTAAACTGAAGTTTGAAAATGTAGTATGCAAGTAACAGACTAGGTGACCTTCGCTTCGCTCTAATGTAACGGAATGATGATGATGGTTTACAATTCAGTGCACTGTTGTGATCAGTGTGATTATTATGCACATCTTCTAAATCAAGCAAATCCGTAGTGACCGAAGCTTTCTTTTTAACTTCACTCCTTATGACATGACTGTAACATCAGTTAGTCAGAATGTGCCTGTCTATGAGATCCTCAAAATGTATCTCTCTTCATTAAAATATTTAATTCTTACCGAAACATCGACTGGACAGTCTGATAAATTCATTATGACGTCCATTTGAGGCATACTGTTGATAAGTGTATCTAATAAGTGTTCGGGAAACAGTTGGCGCGAAATTGTACTTGTCGAGATTTGTGTCCTATTCTGAACTATTCCTTTGCTTGAGCCTTCTGAGAGTGGTTTATTGCGACTGGATGAGATAGTGGTTTTTAATTCCATAATTGCTTGAGCCACACTTTCGGGATCTAAATGTGCTGACGCCATGCATATTGCAACTGATTGAGCTGCTTTAGCTGGTATCAGGTTTAACGCCTGTTTTCGGGCGGCAAATCGATGAGACGCAGAACGCATCGGTTTCCCTATCGATGAATTTGGTGATAACTGGTCTGATAATCGTAAGTTTGGATTGGACTTTGAGCTCGGTGAGCTGAATAGAGATGGCGAATTACTCCCACATTCAGCTTCTGATTTATCTGTAATCTGTAGAGGGAAAACGTTATGTTTGTTATGACATGCAGGATAAAGAAAGTTTGAGCATAAAAGTTACACAGCTACTATCCCACCTGATTCATGTTGACTCTACACAAATCACCGCATGAACACTCGACAGTGAAGACCACTTAGGTGTGTTTTCATGCAAGCATGCACTCAATTCTCAGAAGTTTGACCTGTTGTCTCATAGAATATAATCGGTTTGAACACACTGGGGCTGAGTGAAAGTTTCTATCTCTGAGTGACAAATCACAATACAAAAGACGACTTACATAATACGGTGTCAAACTGCTGACCATTGTGAATCAGAATGAAATCATCCATTGGGTGCAGACGAAATTCTAACATTTCCGTTGGCTAACAGACAGAATGTTGAAGAGTGGTAAGAAGAGGTTCATCCCTAAAATCCACACATCCAAGTCCATCCATCCAGCTAGGTGACACTGTTTTGCACTGAATTCCAGACCATGTGAACTCAATGCTACATCTAGTCAACTGATACTCGGAGTCTGTGGATATATGACATACAATAGTGGAGGAGTGGCCAGTTAAAGTGTGTGACGGTGCAATCACGAGCAATCACACACGCCGGTGTCGTGTGAAAGCACGGTTACATTTTGTCCTGTGATCTGGGGGAAGACACTATTTCCACGATTGAATGAGCAGAAAGATATTTGTAGAAATAGGCCCTAATCCACTGCATAATGAGTCATGGTAGTCTGTGTCAGAGGCTTGGTATGGTTCAATATTCATAAACATATCCGTTAATGAACAGACTGGTTATGGAATGAGTCGGTCTACTGAGACGTGTGGTAGAGTATTTGGACTCAGTGGTGACTATGCTACTCAACTGCCTAAACAGTAGTATATAATAAGTGAGGTAAATTCATGATGAAAATACCAAAAGAATGAAATACCGTTTGCCCACACGGAATAGTCATAATGGATGGATGAGTAGTATTCTTAAATCTTTTGTCGATAATGTTGTCAACGTGTCTAGAATTCTTTGGTTGGACACTAGTAATTAAATGTGTCAAGTGCTTTATTTGGTGCAGACTGAATTCGGTTAGTCGATTGCCTCCAAACATCTACTTCTGGGAATTCATTAAATCTCATGGAATGAATTGTGGGACTGATGTATACTGTATAACTTTTATTGTTTGTCTTTCGATTCTCATATCTTAGGATTTTATAGCCAGCAGCCTTACGGAATGCTTCCAGTAATTGTTTCTCTGTTGACTGCTTATCTTTTGAGAATGCAGTTTGCTATATATTTCATCTTGTGGATTTATTTCAATCATCATCCTATATCACTTGTTCTTGAGCACATTTATGTTTCATTTCTCCTAAAACCAACTGATTATCTACGCTGTCACATCAATATTGACACATCCGATTGAGATTGAGAGACATAAATAAAGTAAAGGACTCTCGCAGACCATGCACATGGTCCGGGGTTCGAGCCCGCACCGACGCACATCTGATATCTATGGTCGGCCTGCAAAATTTGGGCTACCGATATCCATGCTGAAAATTCCATACTTGTACGAAACATACAGTGTGGAATCAAGCTATAATCAAAAATAAAAAATTAAATTAAATGAACTAACCATATTTTCATTCCTTATGATCCGAAATCTTCGATGCAACCGATTCACAAAATCTTCACTCAATAAACCACTTTCATCAATTCGTACCCAGACAGAATTCTCTTTCAGGCGAGATTTTTTCACCTGTTTGTCAACAATTTCCCAGTTGTGGGATTATAAATTCAGGGAAAAGAAAGTAAAATTACACTGTGTTCACAGTAATATATTCATGGTTAATAAGAAAACTGAGATCATCTGAGGTTACTAGTAATAGTTAAAATGTCAGGAAGAAGTGAAATTATGGATGTAGTATTACTACATTACTATCATGGTTTTTATTATAATCATTTCGAAGTAATTTGTACGAAAAACATACTCAAACTTCTGTAGCTGTATTTCTAAGCCACATGTTACTGCCTTCTTCATCCTCCCATCATTTCTATTTTGAAGGTACCAATTTAACCACAGAAGACAAGGGTCAGACAACAGATTGTTTATTAAGGAAATCAACACATATTTATAGATTTTCATGTACATAATATAGATTACTGTTAGCAGAGAGACACAGCCTTCTGATTGGTTGTTTCTCACAGGGAGTTAACTTTGCATCTATTTGTGGCTGTTTCTTGAATATCAGATCATCTATATGCTGACTGTATCCGCCTACGCAAAGTTTGCTGTCAATCTTGTTCTTGTTTTCACATGACTAATATTTGGGACACAAATATTGACGTCAACTAATGTCTACCAATTTGGCTAGCAGCCATCTCTCACCACACCAGTTCAACAAAGTAATCAAAATGTCTTACTATAAGTTCTGCAGCGAAAAAGAAACACAACAGCTTTGGAAGTCTTTGTACGACGTGACCATTTTGTTGATTATAAATATATACGCCTATGAATAAATCCTTATTTCATCTTGTACTGTGTCATGCCAAGCACCTTTTTCTCTTACTCATGTCTACCACTTCTGGTGAGCGGCTTCCAAGGTGCTCAAAAGCATGGATGTGCAACATAATTACACATACTCATGGAAATATATCAAACGAAGTTGCATTTTGCGAATCAGTAAAATAGTTACTAGTCGAATAGTGACGAAATTTTACAGGGCAAATAGTGCAGAGGCGCGTTGGTGGCACAGCAGTATAATGCTCGCCGACTACCCACGTGGTCCGGGGTTCGATCTCCAACCGACGCGCTCCTTTACCTCGCTGAGCCAGTAATAAGGTTGGTAAAGACAGAATGTTGGGCATGGAGCTAGCAACCCCATCCCGTAAAAACAAAACACCACTGCTGCCAAAACTTCAAGTCACTAGCTTGAAGTCCTATGTTCCACTGGGAACGTGAAGGAATAAAAAAAGAGTGCACAATCCTTATTTCAGCCTTGTTTCAGTGTGGTGCAGTGTAGGCGATTCCTCACATGAAACAAAGGTTTTTAACAGAACATAGCACATCCATTTTCACATTATTTTCGAGAACTATCTACTAATGTTGAAATCGTAGATTAACTTGTGAAATATGTTTGAAAGTGAGTGTCAGAGTACCATTAACACATTACTCTGTTGTACTCTGAAGCATACTCACCAAATGTTTTCATAAATTACAAATATATGTTCTTGTCTATTGAACTCAACTTACACATAATTCAGTGATTCAAGACCATGATACTCATTCTATCAGTTTTACATGAATGAACGATTTCAAAAAGAAACAAGATACACCAAGAACGATCAAGTCTTTCTACGAATGTACATTGCTCAGTGAGTCACGTCAATTCTCATGGTCCCGTAGAACTGAGCTCACTATAATTCTTTGAGTGTGAATGCGCCGAACACCCTCGAAGGCTAAATGGTATGGCTGAAAGAGGGTAGACTTCGGTGGCCACTGGAAATGCTGTCATGTGGCAGCCAGTCCATAGCTTCTTCTGTTCACTGACATACTGAGTCGCGATTGTTTCCTACGACCGTGAAACTGTGAAGACGACATATGGAGCTTACAAACGGCCTGATAGTAATATAAACTAGTCCACTCACGTGAGCTTGTAAAACCCGATAAAATACCTATCATGTACATAGGTAGTCCGGAAGGACCAAATGCCCTATGAACCATTAGAACACAGCTGCTGACGCTGGCCCACTGCATTCTGGATGAGCCTTCAAGTAAAAGACCCAGGGGTTGCCGCAAAACAGCCACCTGCTTCTGTCTGGGCATCTGGATAGTTTCTCAGGCTGTGGGATTTTGTCTGGACCATCTCTCGGTGGAGGTTTGTGTTTCTATAATAACAATAATAATAGTGATAACAACGACAGCAGCTATTACTATTAAAATAACTGACATATACACATGCCACTGAACACTTACCGGAGATACGCAAGCCTTCTTCAATCTGAATGCAGCCGAGAATGTCTTCTTCGGTTTCATGTTGTATGGCATCGGCGACTCTGTTCAAATAGAAGAAAAGCTGGTAGTGAGGTAGGAGAATTAATATACCGAAGTGTATATTGTGGAAGTGACCAAAGATTAGTTGGTAATTGACTTTGAAAGAAATCAGTTTTCGATTTGCAGTTGACGTCGCGAATCTAGTGGTGGCGTAAACATAATCAGCCAGATAGGATTTGTCTTTGCATAATCGGTAGGTGAAATACTCTACAAGCTTCACCACATGGTTTTTTCCTGTTAACTTCTATTTAACGCGTTATAACGGTTGAACCTACGTATTCACTATGCAGTGAAATGCTGAATTCAAGGCTGAGGAGTATCCAGTCGCTGGTAGGCACAAACCTAGCAAATGTGCCACTCTTTATCACTATCATTGGCTCTGTGCCTAACAATGAAATTCGTTTATACGCCTGCTTTCTGTTTCAGTCAGTCAATTGATAGACGTCCACAGTAAAATGTATCTGCCAGGTCAGGTTTGATGGTTTACGAGTTCATCTTGTGACCCAGAGGTCGTTGGTTCCATCCATGGTGGGGCGATGGGCACATACTGCTGAAGAGTCTGGAACAAGGAATAGGCGGCTGTTCAGTACTCCCGGTCAGTTGGTGCATATCTGTGACTCTTTATATTTCAGACCACTGCTGATGGATGTTTACTGTCCTCATGCTTGCACTTAGCTCAAGTATGTGACTGCTATGAGTAAAAGGCAACATATGATAATATGAAGATGAAGAACACGTGTTCACCATTTTGGTACTACAGCAAAGTAAAGTACATTGACAAATGAGTTAGAACGTTAACTCACCAGGCGGTGGTGTGGATGAATCGTTGAAACCGGTGAATAAAGGCGGTAGAAAAGTTGTTGTTCGTGGTGAAAGAAAAGGTGGTGGTGGTGGTGGTGGAGGTGGCGGTGGTGGAGGTGGCGGTGGTGGTGTTGGTGGTGGTGGCGATATAATAGGTTGTGATGATGGTGGGGGAGGAGGTGGAGGTGGGGGATGGCGTCGAGATGCAGGAGGTGAATGTGGTGGTGTTTGCAGCTCCTTGCAAATATCTTCAGTGTCGTAGTTCCTACATTTGAATATTGAAATTAGAGGAGTTTCAGTCTGTCGTTCTTTGTCAAAAACTTCAGCACTACACGTCTGTGTGTTTTCAGTGGCTTGTGAACCTTCAGTTGAGTCCGGTGAATCTGGGGATGTTTTCACTTCCGAACCATAAGCTGATGATGATTCTGACGACGTTTGTGGTGAAGCATCATTGGCGTGCTTTGATGTCCATGGAAGAAAAAGCAAGAGTGTATTATTATTGTAGACAATAATGCATTATAATTAAATGAGATATGCAGAGACGAATGATTAGGAAGTCGCACTTAACTATGTCAAAAACACCATATGCATGGCGTTCAACAGTATCTCATCGACTAAATCAACTTTTTCTGTGCAGTGTTCCTGCACCACATATTCAGTATATATATATATATATATATATATCACTGTCATATTATTTCATAGTCCGTCTGCGAACTTACTTAGTCACCCCATCAAATCTGAATCACATCACCAAATCATAAACATTGAAAAGTAGCTGGCTATCTCACTTACTGACTGAACAACTGACGCATCGATCAACCAATGAAGAACATTCCGTAAGACTGAGTTTAGTGGTCGGTTTTAGCTGTTATTAATCGAAAGCACTGAACAATAGCTGTTCTTTACAAGTGACGGTCCATTTCATTCAGTGATCACACGATACACCAAAACTGCCAATTGCACAGAATAAAATACATGAGGCATAAAAGGGATACGGTATCACTGAGATCATCAGTAGGTATTTTTGTCACAGCTGGAAGGAATTCTTTCACTGTAAGTGAACTGTAGTCTCTGTGTAGTTGTCAGAATATATATTCATGAATATGATCACACATCAAGTGGGCGTTAGCGAATTAGGTCGGAAATACTTCATCGCGTAAACGGATACGCAGACTTTACTGAGGCTTCACAAAACTTACTACTAGTTTTCATCGATGATCCTGCTTGTTCAGCAAAACTGATCAGCGACTACATCGAGCAGAGATCGTAAACAAACAGTAATAAAATTATTTAACCTCTCATCATTCTGTTGCATCTGGACCAACAAGACGAGAGTTGCAGTCATTTGTTAGAGTCTGTCCAGTCGAGAAATATAGACTCACAAAGATAAATGAAAACAAATATTACGACATTTCGGATGGGTAAGGAATACACTACCTACGACAGGAGAATAGATGACATTCAATGTATGCAGAAGTGAATCAAAGCCGGGGACACATTTCACGTACATTCCCTCAGATTGTGACACAGGTTTGTCCGACTTATCTCCACTGACAAACTTTAGTAGATTTGTAGTAACCCACCAATTTTGAAAGACACCCCAGATCGGCGATAAAATGTCTATTCCTAACTGCCCATTACTGATTCAAAATACCCACTTGTTTGAGTAATTATTCAAGTGCACTTCCTGGAGAAGTCATGTAATTACTGCTCCTAGCCACTAATATCCGAATTTGTTCAAGCGAAAAAATGAACATCAATGCGTGGACTTACCTCGGAGAATCTGGTATTATCACCTCTCAATGACATCTGAACACTCCTATCTGTCTTCCTTAATAGGCTCATTCGACTGATAGGTTCCACAGACACGTCGCGAACTTCCACTGTTCCAAATCTCCTCGTCAAGTCCGCATTCACATCATCTTGTGCATGCTAAAAAAGAATTTTATTCACCGATGAAAAATATAAATGCATGCGCCAGAGAAGTAAACCAGGGTCGAATAGACTACTGGTTCACTAGACTATAAGTGTTCATTAAAACATGAGAAATTCAGAAAAATGGTCGACTACAGCTGTACATGCGGTCAGTTTTACAAAAACATATTATAGAATTGGACGAGTTGAAATCCTTAAAATCTCATTATCTGAGTGAAGGCAGAGATTAATAAGTGAGATTTTATTTCCCGATTCAGCTCTGAGTATGTACTAAAATGATGATTCCTCATGTTTTGTAATCATCTGGAAAATTCTGCTACTCTCACGACAAATGTGAAGTAAGCACGTGAAGTATCAACGTCTCATTTCGGGGTTTCGCTTTTATCAGTGATATGGTTTTGAACGGTGAATTCTCACGGAGTATCATTCAATGGAAAGTTATGTTTTTCTGATGTCTCATATTACACTTCTCCCCTTTAGATACTGCATTATAATATCGGTTCAACACCGCACTGCATGAATCAGACTGCTAGTATTTGAAGTTCTGCTTGCTTCGAGACTTATGTCTTTGAGGGTTGTACTACTACTGCCACTGCTACTACTACTAATACTATGAAAACAGCATTAACAACAACAAAATAGTAAATAAATGGAGGACATGAAATATAACACCTTGAGCCATCAAATACTACACTGAATTATCCATGAGTTTTGATAGCTTTCGTTTGCTGAGAACAATTTAGATGGAGTGGTGTTGTTAAGCTGAGATATACTGGTTTCAAGTCAAACAGTTAATCCAACCAGTCACACCTCGTTCAAGACGTTTGGACTGAAGGCTGATTGGAAACTAGCTATTTGACACAAAATAACCTAAGTCAAGCTGATAGAAGAGATGTGAGGAAGTATGAACAGTTAGCTTCCACTCCCACATTTTTTCTATCTCAGATCCCAATTAAACTAAAGACGACACAATTACTTCGTACCTGTTCTCTATTCCATCTCATTAAACAAATCATGATGATGACAGTAGATCGAAAGTGAAAGTGTTCAATGTCTAGACTCACTAGTCATCTTCGAGGAAGTTGAAGTGATGAAAGCTGATTTATAAATGCACTCTCACCTACCACTATGGATAAAACTTTATATTCACGAAGTCTCACAGTGTTATACAGTAATATTTACTGATGACGTTTCGAGTACAATTTATTGCTCATGAGCACATCAACGCACTCACATGACATTCTTGCTCCCTTGATATACATGAGTAAAAGTTGATCAGACATTAGACATTATCTAACTACGCCTGATCTGCTAGTATGACCTATGTACTTGATCTAACTCATGGTCATGGGACGATTTGACAGCACTGAAATCTCGCTCGACTAATTCATGTGGGATATTTACATGTAAAGTTTTATTCAGCGTTTCAGTAGGTGCTAGTAGGTCTGAAAGCCACCGCAATTCCTGCCTTAGAATTCAACCATATAATTATCAGTAGCATCGATATATACATATATATATGTATACGTAATATATAAATATATAATTTACCAAATACCTTGGAATAACCATGAATTAGATCAACTATATAGGTCATACTAGCAGATCAGGAGTAGTCAGATCAGAACATAAGAATCTGGCCACGGTTGGAACGACTGGTCCCACGGAGATAAGTATTTGAGAAGAAAACTCACCAATCGCACTGGATGCACAAACACACAACCAGACAATAGGATGGGTGAGATAGAGTCAAAATACTTTAGGTGATATAGGTAGGTAGGTGGAGAGAGAGAGAGAGAGACATTGATCACCGAATCCTGGTTTATCGAGTCTACACCCAACACATGCAATCGAAGTAACTCAGCGCAAATACCAGAGATATGGAAGATATTACTACCAGTCAAACCAGAGAAAGATAATAAATAATATTTAAATGCATTCAATTTACATTATAACATTCTAACAAGCTACTTATTTTTACTTGAAAACATCTTATTCTCCATTTATTGACTTACAACAGTCGTCATATTTTCCAATTTATTGTATTTTATTGATAACACCTATATTATTTCCGAATGTACTTTATCTTGCTTTCCGTTTCATTCAAGTCTCATATTGGTTTTCTTCAAATGTCTGATCAACTTTTACTCATGTATATCAAGGGAGCAAGAATGTCATGTGAGTGCGTTGATGTGCTCATGAGCAATAAATTGTACTCGAAACGTCATCAGTAAATATTATTGTATAACACTGTGAGACTTTGTGAATATAAAGTTTTATCCGTAATGGGATTATACCACACCAGTGTGCCTAAGTTTTATATTCTTATATGAATAACTCTCTCACCTTGATTATTGTCAATATTCTCTGAGGTCCGCGTGAAGCTTGGGTGATTGGAACAAGATTGGATCTGTGCTTCGGAATATACACGCTTCTATACAGTCTGTTCTGTGATTTTCTGGATGTCCAAAACATACTGTTACAACCATCAGGACACTCGTCATTCAATGTTATGCTTGTGTCAGCGCAAAATCTACAAGTGGAAATTGAGATTGGGAAAAGGAATCTGTTGAGAATATAGGAAATCTTGAATAGCTGAGAGTTTACGAGAGTTGTTTTAAAGCAGTTGGAGAGACCGACCTATTGAAGCTTGCCATTTCGATTCCTCTAGACGATGACGCGACTTCCAGATTATCGCATATGGGGCGATCATTGAATGCACCATGATCTATTCCTTCAGTCGTGTGATCGCAGAAGGACCTCCTAGAGACTTTCATTGAATCGCAGTGACAATACACTTCACCTCTCACATAGATATACTTATGTTATTGGCCAAAACGTTTCGAATACTTCGACCATAAGTGTGTGTTGATACAATTCACATTTTTACAGGTTTTCTCACTCATTTTTTTCTTGTTTAGTCCGTTCTTAATTGTGTGCTATGCTACGCAGTGTCATTGTCGTTGAATCATTGCTCACTTGATCTGTCACAGTAAACGGGATTCCTACTACATAAACAACAACAGCTCATAGAGGATCCTGAAACTCAGATACAACATTAAATGAGGACATGCATGTAGGGTGTAACATGAACACAGAACTCAGTCAAAGATGTTTCCTCCAGTTTCTGTTTCAGTTATACTCATTTGAGAAATGAATTGTGCCTGAGTTGTCGTTCAGCGAGTATTACTGCGTTACTAATCTACTTTATGTAGTGGAATAACTGACACTGAACTTTCCGTGACGTCGGTGGCATGGCGGTTAGGACACTCGCCGACCATGCACATGGTCCGGGGTTCGATTCCCGGCCGGCGCACTCCTTTACCTCGCTGAGCCGGGAATAATGCTGGTAAAGAGGAAAGGTTGGGCATGAGGCTAGCAACCCCATCCTGTAAAATAAACATTGCTACAGAATCTTCAGGCCACTAGCTTGAAGCCCTATATTCCACTGGGGAACGTGAAGGAATAAAAAAAAGAACTTTCCGTATGAAACGCACAATTAAATAACAATAGATTATCAATGTTGTTCAACACTGAGTGCACGGGGTTTGATGACAACTGATCTTAATTACATCTCCTGTGACTGCTTTATTCAGCATGTTGTCACATTTTCAAACTTTCATCTTACCTGAGATGCTACAGTATTTCAGGAGAAAAGTTTGCAGGCACTCCTTCTGACTGATTTCTGATTTTCCACAAATCATATTGTATGGGATGATTTCTCTTATTTAATAAAGTTTAGGACAAATATGTCGTTCGTTTCGTCATTCCAACTGAGAGTTAGAAACTGATCCAGGTGGTGCTCTTTTCTATAATGTTTATTATCTGTCTTAGTCAGTTTGCTTACCCCTATCAATTTAATTAAAATTTAATATCTGTGTTCCAGAGAACACTTCCATATGGACATAGGACAACTTATAAAATTAACATTCAAAATGATTCACACTCAATGAACTTTAAATAACAAAATGAAGTAAAATCACTCACTGATTATTCTTCTCTCTATCGTCTGTTTTCTGTTGAAGTGAATCACAATCTTCACTGATGTTTTGTTTGCGATTTCTGAATGATTTGGTGAATAGTCCAATGTATCTATTGTTTTCTTTTGGTTTGTCTTTGTGAAGTTTGTGTGGTTTCCTGAAGCTTAGATTTAATTTTCCAAATACATCTTTCCAGGTCTTATTGGAATCCCCTGCATAATCCTCCATTTAAATTTTTTTAAGTTAAATTCCACACCAAAGAAATAATTAGATCGTCTGATTCTTAGCTCAATACAACGGCTATTTATATTTACGAAAATCTTAGCAAAATTCCATTTGTGAGTTAGTAAATTTCAACTGACTCAATTGCAATAAGTAGTTAAATATGATTAATTTGTGTGTTAGTCATTTGTTACGTAAGTATTACATGAAGTCTATGCCAATCTATATAGCAATGTAGGAATATAGCACAGTACTTAAAAGTTAAATAGACTGACTAGGAATCACAATCTTGTGGTGAAAAGCCAATAGAAAAAAACTTGTGGTTATCGCAATTGCTCACCCAAATCTTGTTTTGGTGAATAACTCCATAGGGGGTGAGGACAGACATATACAGAATATAGACAAGTTCATAATTACTGCCCCTCAGTATCTCATAATTTTTCTGTCACCGTAGTTTGCTTCAGTCAGGATACTAATTCAATGTAGCCTAACTTTGCATTGAATTGATCGAAACAACGGTTTATGTCATTGATTAATAGCTATTTCTGTAGGATAAATAAAATAATATTCATCGTGGTCAGTTATATAGTACATATTTTTTACACAGAGTGCTTTCTGTCATAAATTTTCAGTTCTTATAATTTATTTTAATTTGTGATTATGTTCTCCTATTACTGTACACGGAATAAACCTTCAACAAACTGCACAATATTATGAACACTTGCAAAGAAAAGTTGAGAGCATGTAGCGTACTGATTGTTTGTTTAGGAGTGATGTCGATTCATACTCATTCTAAGAAGTAAAACATGACAGTGTAGACTTTTTCAAACCTCAAGGATAGGATTCCATCACTCAATGGCATATAAGAACATTTCATATCCAGCCTGGAACAATGAATAATCTTAACGGCAGAGAAACGATGATGACTATTTCAAGGAAAGTTAAAAAGTGTCACACCTTCATAAATAATACAATTTTAGCTTGATGAAATAAGTTACAAAGTATATACAGTATAAAAAACTATTCTGAGTTAATAAAGTTAGAGAAGGCAAAAGATAAACAGACAAATATAAAATATAACAAGTTACTGCCCTTCAGTTAACATTAATACTGGTTTACTAAGTGATGATTTAACTGGGTGAGAGTTGGAGAATTTCATTCTAACTAGATATTTAATTATTTTAGGGATGTAAATGGTTGTTCACTGTAACTAAACACTTAAATTACTCAAATGTAAATAACATATTACAGTCTGGAAGTTCCCATTGCTGGTGAATCTCAAACGACAAAGAACTAGCTTCCTAATGGCAATTAATTCGATCTTCTAAGTGCTGTCACTTTATGAGAGAAATCCTAGGCTGTAAAACTGTTGTGCATATTAAAGGTTGGAAAATACACTTTTATGTAACAGACTGGAATTCTTGTTACTAAGGCTTCCTTAATATCTTGTTCTACTTCATATTATCGTGGTGTGATAGAGACAGTTTGCTCCAACTGAATATTAATCTCACATTTTCCCACATTTCAAATGTGTATTAGCAACAGAATACGACATTCTATTTCACGTCGTTTAATGTAAGCCAAAATAGCACATTGAGTGAGTGTTTAGAGAATATATATGTATAGCGGTTTGATCACTTGAAAATATACATTGACTTTTATTTCTTTCCCTCTACTGTTACAATATCATTCAATCTTTACAGTTTAAATACAGAATACTTTTCGTTACTTCTGGAATCAAATTCTTGAGCTTCCTTTGTAGTATATAGTTCAACATATTTCTCGTCTTCATTGGACACTAGTCAATAACTGGTGTAATGTGTCTAGTCCTTTCTTTGGTGCAGACTGAATTCTATCAGTCAGGTTTACAGTGTGACCACCATTCTAGGTAGCTTGCCATCACGGTGCACATTGATCTGATGATATTGGATAGTTGGAGGCAATCGGCTTCCTGCCGACGGTTGATGATACTAATGATATTTATTGGTAGTAGTGGCATCATTAGTAAAAACAGCAGTAGTGGTATTAACAAAGTAATGTGCTCATTTCATTACAAAAGGGAAATTAAGTATTCATAGGGTAAATTGGCAACTACACACACACATACACACACACTGTTCATGTACTCACAAAACTATTCAACATGAAGAATAAAAATTCATTATTGTTTTTAAAGTACAAAATAAGGCAATAACAACACCCTTTTCTCATCAATACAATGACATAACTGTCTAAAATTTATCTAGGCCAAACTATTGTTCTCTACTGAATTGAAAAGAAAAGTGGAAAACGAAAGTGAGCATCTAGCCAGTGAATAATGATTTCAAATAGCTTCCATGGTAACTATACTTTACAGTAAATGAACAAAATGTTTTAATATAAGCATCTGGGCTTCAAATTACTCTTCACTTTTATTACTTTCAATACATTTAAATGCTATTTTTGGCTGAAGCTGACTGATAAAAAAAACTTTTAAAATCGAAAACCATGTCTGTAATTTTTACAATTGGAAAAAAAGCTACTGAAATAATCAACGGTAACAGTTCCCCACTAACAAAAGTACGAAGGGCAAAGTAAGCTGATCTGATTTTCCTTTCTGTTTAAGTTTTGAACAACTTATTTCACTTTGTGTATATCTGTTATTTGCTACTATTATTAGTTATAAATACCTCAACATTAAAATGAATTGGACGCTTTTTCCTTGGGTTCAACGCCACCGTAATTAGTTTAACCTTAAGGTTCTTCACTTCGGAAATGAATTTATACCAGTTTCAGAGTAAATATGAGTTTTCCTAAGAATGTGGATTAGCTGTGTTAATGAACTATATTCACTGAGGTTCACTTCTTCCTATGGATTAATTTTCCAACATCTAAAAGTATATTTTTTGAATTTCAGAAAGCTGTAATTTTATTTCGTCGAATTAATCCAGAGATGGGAAGGTCCCTGATATGCTCTTAAAATATGAAAACCATCATTTCACGTCTCTTTATCAGTCCTAAAGTATCTTTTTTTCTATTCTTTCCCATTTTGTGAATAGAAAGGCGATTAACTTTTTACAACAGTATGGCTATTCAGATTTATAGATATCTCACACGATATGTGTGAAGATTTTTCAAGATATTTCAATAAATGTAAATATCTTATTATTAAGCTTCGCGTCAGTAAAGACTAATAAACTTAATCTAAGAAATTACTGAAAAAGGTTAGAAGTTAGTACCTGATGTTTCATTTTTAAGAATAATCCGTTAAATCTTCAATTGTAAAAGAAAAGGGGTTCGGTGAAGAGTTACTCTTTTCGGTGATATCATTCTCAAGATGTACAATAGCACATATATATATATATATATGTTAAATTATCCGAGCAAAAAAATGAATATTTCCATGGTTGTATCATTAGAACTGTAAATTTTAGATAACAAGTTACATAATGTAGAAAACGTTAGTCGGGTAGAAAATAAAAATAATTATTAGATATTCAAGTGTTGGGTTGTAGGGATTTGATTGGTGACAGGATTTCATCATGAGCTGACATCCAACGGCCCATAAATTCTAACTTCTGCAATTCACGATATAGCGCGACCACTAGCCAATGTCTTCGGCGAGTATTTGTACTCACATCCGACCTGCTATGTCGTGAGTTGGCAGAAGTTAGAATTCAAGGACCATTGGATCGGGTCCCAGTGGCTCAATGTTCTATGAGTCTGTCTTGTAACCAGAAGGTCCTGGGTTCGGACCCCTGTGGGTGCGTATTGATGAAGAGTCCCAAACTAGGACGAAACAGCTGTCCAGTACTCCCAGGTTTTCCAGTGGTTCTCTAACTAGTGTCAGCTCATGATGAAAATTATTAAAATTTTAAACTTTAGTTGACGAATTTCGTTAATGGGTTAGAAACTAAAATAAGATTAAACACGCAAGTTGAGTGACGTAATCTGATTGCTTTTTCTACTCCACCCACACTTCAGGTGTAATTGATGAGGTTAGATGATTACAATGCAGTGATGTGTCATGAAATTAGTTTGTGAATTGTTATTGGGTGTTTGATTTTTTAAACGCTTCGGTAGTCTTTATACTGTTTGCGCTTGGATGTTTTGTGAGGAAAGTTCAACATCATCCGGAACGTCATACTTAGTGCTGCTTGACGCTGAAGCGAATCTGTCCACTTTTCATGAGTACCCACAATGCAATTCGTCTTATTAATTGGTGTATCTGTAAAAGTTCTTGCTATTAAACAACTTTTAATTTAGTCAGCATCATACAGTGTTACTCCTATTTAGATGTTAAAAGTAGATTAGTGAGTTGTTTTTTGACATTTATTTTCAAGCTGGTAAAAAGACTGAAACACAACTTTGGATTATCGGTCATACTACCAAATGATATAATTAGTATCAGTAAAAAGTTTGAGCATTGTGGATTAGATCAAATAAAGTATAATTATATTTTAATAGTTTACACACAATGATAAGTTTTGTTATTGGTAATATTTCGAGCAAAATTACTGCCCGTGTTCACGCCACTGATGGAATTGTTTTATTCACACATTTATGATTTGTACTCATATATTATTAGTGTACTTAAATATAATCATTTTAAAACATGGTTTATCACATGTCTCACTCCAAGTGCCAGTAGGATCTAATAATTGTGAAGTTTCTTTATAATCCTTAAATGATTGTTTTCAGTCCACAAAAAAGTATTTTACGCTGAATGTGCAAACTTTGATGTGACGCATAAAAACAAACAAGAAAGTTATTAGAGTATAAGGAGTACGGAAACGAGGTCCTATGTGATTCTCTAACAAGCAACTCACACAAGTATAAATAGAAGTGAAGCCAGTGCATGTTTACCCTGCGGCAACCAATATAGTACAACCAATCTAACCTTTTAGTATTTGTCGCAAATCACAGCTTAGATAATTTCACTGTTCATGCCTTCTCATGCAAACTTTGATATTTCTTTAAGCATAAACTGAATAATAAATTGCTGGACTTACATCTTGAATAATCTATACATTCACCAGTCAAAGAATCATTTCAAATCAGTTAGATAGCTACTTCGTTTGAAATGGTCCGTCATTTTGAGCATGAGGATATTTTTTTGATGACATCATTCCCTGATGATTGCGATGTGAAACAGCTGAGTTTTGAAAAGACCGGCTGGTGGTTTCGAACCCAGTAGTTGAAAGATAATCTGACGACTGTCAAACTTTATAGCAGGTGCATTGATCGTATGACAGATTTTTTTACGCGTCAGTAAACCGTATCAAATTATAACTAATAGCCATAAGCTACCTATAGTTGGTTAACAGAGCTCTGACTGACGTTATTTCCTGGTAGACTTCACTTTGAAGTATAGTTTTCAGTGATGGATACTTTTTATTGGGTAAAGAAATAAATACAACAATATCTCAGTTCATAGCTCACCTATTATAGTGTGATGTGATCAAAACTCTTTGCTTATAAACTGTAATAAATTTCCAGTTTTTTTCAAATTAATAAATGTATTCCTTCAACTTGGATACTTTAGAGATCAGTTTGGCATAATGTCTGATAGTCTATTGTTTTTTTTTCCCTTAAAAGTCAGATGTGTTTGAACTGACAGCATTCATAAGTTACTCCATTTGAAAATAACTTCCGAATTTTTTATATGTAGCATCTAATGGTTAGTCTAAAAATATTTTTTTTTGATATTTGAAAGGAAATTGTTAAAGTTCACAATGAAAGATGTAACTAATAATCTCAGCCGTCACTAGGCAGCCTTCACTAACAACTTCTCAAAAACAGACAACGAAATTCCTTATGATCACTTACCTAGCAATTTGAAATTGCAGTATTCAATATTTAAACATCACGTTTATGGGGAGGCGTTGTAAGAATTGCATTAACAAAACAAGCTTTGTAATCTCCCTTGTGACATTTGAATATCTTGATCCATGTAAGGCGAATAACCGAGTTCAGTTTGAAAATGAAAAGATAGTTCATTTTAACTGATTAAGAATTCTCATTAATTTTTTTCTAAAGAATGGTTACTGAAAAAGGAATATTCTCTTCGATAACTTCATCACGTTCTTCAGTTTTATATACATAATACTGAATGAATTATTGACATTAATAACATTAGTGTTTAAATAAAATTGAATCAATAATATCAATAGATTAGTTTATTTGTGAGTTTGGATTGCTATTTCAATGTATGTCTCCATCATCATTTGAGTTATATACCAGAATAAAAAATTCTGATACAATTCCATTTGTAAGAATAAACTTCAACTTTTCGAAATTATCAGTGTAAATCCTGGCAGTGGATGTGATTACCTGTCGGCTTATATAAATCACGAACCTTAACTGACCAAAATTCAATGCGTTTATCACCTATTGACCATTTATCTATGATTTTCTAGTTGTCGTGAGTCAAAAAGCTCAACAAGCAGCTGCTATCAACCGTCAGAAAATGTCATTGTATGGAATATAGACTTAGATGGAAATCAAGTCAGTCTGGCTTATTGTGAGTATTTGAATAAAAATGCTTAAAATTTTTACTAATTTTATCAGTGAATTTCATGCATTTAGTTCTTTGATAAATTTCAACAATATTTGCAGTTCAAGTGATATTTTCTTATTGCACAAATTCTAATCAGCTAAAATCTTCCCAAAATTAAAATGTTAACCAGAAAAAAAGAATAGAATGACTCAAATGGCATACGGACAACACAAAAGGTATTTAAAACTGGGCAAATCAAAATTCTGAATATCAAAAGAGGAAATCATACAATGATTATCAGTCTGTATATAATACCAAATAATTCTAAAAATATTTCAAAGGTTGAGATGCAAAGAAACATTGCCTACGAACTAATTAACCAGGAGACTATTTAGTGCATTGAGTTCTTAAGAGTGAAATCAATGAGAAAACGTACAAATAGATTGCGCAACTAATCCATATATGCAGTCGTCGAGGCAGCAAACAACAGATGACTGCAAATTTGGTCTTTTTAATTTTGTTGCAAATTTGTCCAAAACTTTTGAGAAAATCTGAAATTTTCTTTAAGACACTGTACCACCCATGGAATCATTCTTAGTTCAAATGGATGTATTGTTTAATGTAAGCCTAGAGAAAGAAAACCCCCGTCTACTGGAAATAAGCAGAAAAAACCGGGAGTTTTCTGGTCAAAATAAAACACTAACATATCGATAGTAGAAGGTTGGAGGCAATCGGTTGGAAGCCTAAGACCCAGGTTTCCTGCTGTTTGGTACTCGTCAATAATACATGTCTGCAATTCTGAAGGAGCTTATGTCTAGGATTAGACATACTACACCAGTTACCGACTTGTATCCAATCAAAACCATAACATATTACACCTTCACTAAAGATATGATAAAATAATTGTTATTTCTTACTGATGGCAAATAAATAAGTTATGTGGACATACAATTAGATTACCAATATTCCTAAAACAGCATAATATATTACAGCCTAGGTTTTTCGGTATTTCACTGAAAGTAAGAAAAAGAACATCCAGGAGCCTGGTAATGAGGGGATAGAAATAAAGAAATGTTAACAATGCTATGATGACTGATCAGTCCACCAAAGTGCACTTAGTACGATTTTTTATTTTTATGAGTTGATCACGGATTGATATCAGTTAGAGAACCATCGAAAACCAGGGCGTGCTGGACAGCTGCTGTTTCATCCTAGTTTGGGAATCACCGACAGTACGCACCCACTGAGGTTTAAACCTAGGACCTTCCGGATACAAGGCAAGCTCCTATACCATTCCACCACTGGGACCCGATTCAGAGGTGCGTGCTGCCGATGATTCTCAAACTAGGATGAAACTGCTGTCCAGTACTCCCTGGTTGTTTTCAGTGGTTCTCTAACTGATATCAAGCCGTGATCAACTCGTAAAAACAACAAAACTAACCCTCACAAACCAAACCATAGAAAATTAATAAGATTTAATGATGTGATTAGTGTTATACAATGACAGAATTCTATACTTCCATGTTTCTGCACAACACCAAAAAGCATTAGATGCTTGTCTCCAGAACATTTGCCTCCTAATTCACGTATTATTTTAATAAGTGAGGAAAAAGCGAAATATTCTTACTCCATGAATATGTTAAAGTGTGTACAAGTGGTTTGTTTCTATACAAGCAGTATCTTGTGTATATTATTACCAGCAATAATATAGTGGATTTCAAATTGATTGATTAAATCTGTAAGTGCTATAGTGACTAAAATAATTCAACCATAAGTCTTACACACTCATTCGAAATATTTTAGGCTTTATTGCGGTTCATAAGAGAAGAGTCAATTTAAAGATGATTAAGTGTTAATGATCTGTTTAATGTATCGTAAATGTTTACAATTCGGCGGAAATCTTTCTGGCTTATTCGCCGACCATTAAATAGCCAGCATATACACAAATCAAATATTTCATCGGGAAGATTTTGCATCGCCTTTGTTTTAAGTGATTATAATGGAGAGCACGCTCAAAAGCCACTTACGTTGTTGACAGATTGTGACTAGCGGAAAATAACACACCTTTGGGTTGTGTTAAACGATATAAATTAACTATTCTATCAGTTGCTACATTCTTCCTTGTTGATACCTAGGCGCAAATTACGCGTTAAGCCTTCGGTAAAGTGGAATTAATATTTTGAATGTGTATTACCAAACATATCTATGCTTCTAAATCTTCTTTCTTTGTTACTTTCAACAGACAGCTGTGCTATTGAACACATATATTTCATGTTAATAATCGATGTAGAGGTTTGCACACAAATATTTCATCAGCCTAGCAAAAGACATACTGCTTTTAATTGTTGAGCTCTTTACCACCAGTTCTGAATTTTGGTTAACTATTAACCTCCAAAGTTATTTAGACTTTTCAGGTAAGTGAAACTACCGACATGCTCTACTTCTATGCCACTCACGTTCCTCTTACTTACTTAAAACCGTCCTAAGTAGATGCATACTCACCGAAATTTTCTATAGTTAGCTAAATAAGATAACTTAATAGATAATGAGGTTAAGAGAACTGGTTATCCTGCTTACCATAACTCAGAAATACCTTTAATCTAATAAGTACTGATGATCCTAGAAACAGTATTACTTATTACCCCTAATCTTAAACTAGGCTGTTGGATGGGGAACAACAAAACGGTTTCAAAAAGCCTGTCTTGTCTACAGTACTGATAATTTAATGTACTGTAAATTATGCATCTCACACAGAATAAAATATAAAATTTTCGGTTTCTATATAGGTACGGATACACAGATTTTATGGTGCAATGACCAACAAATTCAACTCCAGGTAAGTAAACCAATTTCCACATTCTATTGTTAAATTAAATGCCAATAAGATAAAGTCAGTAATGTGTTCAATAATACCTTTAATACGGAATGTCTAATACTGTGGTGAGCTCATGACTTGTGGATCTCATCATGTTCAACATAACTTCGGTCATTTACAAATTAAACCGGATAGTAAATTTTGGTAGAAAATAAATTAGTTCGCACCTCAATGTGGTATTTTTTTTTGAAAGGTAGAAACAACATTAAGTGGCAGACGTACACTGCTAAAGAGTACTAAAGTTGAACTGTTATCCAGTACTCATTGTTCCAACGACTGTCTCGCTAATGTCGGTTTGTGGTGGCTTCCTTAAAGATTTCTATATTATATAGAAACGATAGACTTTATTTCTTGTTTTTCTGGGTGAAAATTTTAAATTCATAACTTTTAGGTGTTAATTCCAAATAGAAGTGTTGTATAAGTAAACTGAGTGTTCAGTGAAAACCCCAATAGCAGAATTGACTTTAACGTTTACTTGGGTCATATGTTTTTGGCATTTGTCAGTGTTTATATTCTAGAGGAATAGGTGCTTTAATTGATCTTAATATGCTCTAAATTGAATATAATTTGAAACGAACACTTATTTAGTGTATCTCATGGTGTCAACTATCTATAAAAGTTAATATTCTTTTATTGGAATGCTGGGTAAAAGAACTAGTTCGACTCCTAACCTCACCCACATCTCAGGTATTTCAGTATCCCTGTCTATGATTGTAATTTCAAGTGTTTGTCTATATGACATCACTGACTCCCTTAGGATTGTTTATGAGCCAAGTTAAATAGATAAACCTGAATCAGTGTTAGTTTCTTGCACTGTTTAATACATCGTATATTTGAATGAATGAATACAATTAGCAGTTAATACTGTATAGCACTTTGGCAACGGCTACCTTTCAGGAGATACTGGTTGTAAACCTGGATATGGTGAGCATACTTCATCAATTTAAAGGATTTCTGTCTACTATTAAGATTACCATAATACATTCCCTATGATTGGAAAGTCTGTTTTTCACATCTACTACGCTTAGCATATCACTTTCTGAAATAAAAAGGCGAAATGGTACGACATTACGTAGTAACGCAAAAACACTAAAAGTTTACAAAGGGGAAAATTAATGTCACATCAATCTGTTAATTTAGTATTATTCCCCAGTGAATGACTGAAATGTCTAATATTATAAAACACTTTTCATTGCATGTGCTGTAATCACCACATAATTTATTTATTATTGAAAATTCAGGGAAAGTCTGAAGGTAAACGACAAGAATACACCTTTTCCATTAAGAGTCACAGAGGTTCACTGTTACTTTCCGACGATACAACAGAGAAAGTCCCTACTTGTAGACTATATATTGATGGCAGTGAAGTCAAGCATCATAAATGCAAATAAGGTTGGAATTTATTTTAGAAATATCATTTAAAAACATGATAGTACATATTACCAGTAATAATTGTTGTATTGCATGTTACATAACTGAGTTAGTTATTTTAAAAACTATGTATTCATATAGTGTGTATCTGTCATTATTATTATTATTATTATTATCATTATTATTATTATAGAAGTATTCTCCTTTTCAAATAAAAATAAACTGATCATAATGAAATCTTTTGTTTTCTGAAATACTCATTATTATTGAATTTATCAATTTGTTGAGCTTTTGCTAATATACCTGCTGAAAAAAGAAACAAGCCCAAGTGTGAAAATATCCCTTATGTAATTAGAGACGAGCGATTGATTTGGATACAAACTGTAGAGGATTAACCAGTAAAGCATACCATTTAAAAGTAATATCAAGTACGACAATTTAAGCTATGAGTACACCTCGAACACCATACAAACCTAGGTCATTTAAGTTTCTATCAGTTTTAGTAAATAATCGCTGAGTGCCCGTCGAAAATTAAAATTGAAATATTTACATAAAAATAAGTACAAGCAAGTGAAGAAATGTCGAATTAAAATTGTAAGTACTAAAAACAAAATTTACTTCAGAACTTCAAATGAACCTCACTGAAGTACAAGTTGTCCATGCTATTAATATACATTTTTGTTGCTACATTCCCTAATATTAAGAACAGTGATGTAGTAACATATTTGTGCTAGAAGGAAAAGAACACGGATTTCAGTAAAGATATCTTTTTGGAGATGTCATTTTCAAAAGCTGTATAATCGCATTTAAATCCATAATTTTACGTAGATAAAATTTTTATCTGATTCCACATAATTACGAAGGGGACTTAAAGGTGACAATTATTTCCAACTAGATATAGTTTACAAGAGGCTTAGAAAAAAAATAACACGGGATTAGAACGAATTAATCATTATTATTATTATTATCAAAATCACCGTTGTTGTTGAAATGTTTGTGGCCATAGCTCATTTGCTACACATACATGACTGACTAATACAACAAACAACCTAACTATTGTTAGTGACTTCAAACCCCCTATTTAATGTGAGCGGTAATCACGAGATGCAAATACAATATATCAACAGTGTTAATATTGCCTTTGAAAATTGTTCATTTTGTGTCACCTTTAGAATTATATGATCTAGAAAACTTGCAATCTTTTCGGGTTTCCATTGTTGGACCATGCGAAACTCATCCAACCGTCTCACGTCATTCAGTCTGCTTTTTAGTGTCACCTAGTATTCAGTAGAATCTAATATTGATTATTACTCTTCGATTACGTAATTTGTTACGAGTGACCTGAACACTAATCAAACTGCAATCTGTCAAAAGATATTTCAAAGCAATTATCATAACAACATTAGTAATAACAATAATAATAATGATGATAATAATAATAATAATATGTGACAGAGGTAAATTAAATTGAAACATAAGAGTTCAATGAGTATGGCTAGTATGAATAATCCCATTCTAGCACGAATGCAAAAGAGAGAAGTGCTTACGCGAAGAGGATCTTTTAGGTGACTTCATCCTCTCACAAAATACATGAATTGGTGGGAGGACAACTGTAAATACTTGTGAATAGACAAGAGAGGCTGAAGAAGAGTGACACAGTTCAGTAGCAAGATAAATAAATAATTGGATGAGTGGTAATTAAGAGTCTTATACAAATGAAGGTCACTATAAATGCATTAGCTAGTGAAATATGCAAGGATCGAGTAGGCTAATATTCAATGTGTGGATAGTGGTAGAGAAAATACTACGAAATGAACACATGCAAAATATTGACTACAATATTTGTAAGTTGCCATCAGTTTGTATGCTGTCTAAGTAGAAAAGGAGAAGGAGGAAGACAGAAAAGAGAAAAATCTAATAGACAGTGTTAGCTTATATAAGTTGACATGGCAACTCAAGGAGGTTATAGTTCATAGGAATGAAATTCGCTCAGTGAGCTGAAATCACTAATATGGATGAGTAATCAATTTAATGCAAATGTAGTTGCCGAGGTAGTGAGAGATTGATTATATTTTCTTTCTGTCTACATACGGTTGGTTTGAAACGTTTGATTGGGATTGCTTCAACAGACAGTAGTAAAATTGCTGTCCTTTGTATATTTAATATTTTGAAAGATTTAGAAATTTCGATGAAACCTCCCGTATCCACAAGGTGTTTGATGATTTGATTTAGTTAATATCTGCCTCCCTTGTAGTCATGGCTTTCGTGGGGTATGCTCAGAAAACCAGATAGAAGCCTTTCTCTCTATCCTTCTGATGCACTCGGTGCCACAGATGCACATAAATTTAACAATCCAGTTACAGGTGACATCAACAAAGCAGTTGTTCACTTCAGATTGGCTTATTAAGCATGTGGTGCTGTATATTGTCACGAGCTTAGCTGTAGGGAAGCATGTTTTATTGCTGCTTTCATTCTTCCTGTCAGTTATATGTGATACTGATTTTCCGTCGAACGGAAGACAAATGAACAGTCTCTCGTTTTCAGCAGTTGGCTTTTTCGTTTTCTCGTCTTTTTCTCTGCTATACCTCAGGGTAAATTTCTTAGGAATTTCTCAAGAAAGCCTAGCTCTCCTTCCAGCTCGTTGGGTGAACCTAGATGACTGGCTGTGTTATACAGTGTCCTCACTAATCCAAGCTTATGGCTTACAAGATAGAAAGAAGCTGCTGTAGTGAAGATGTTGTTCGGTACGCGTTTATTTTCCACAATCTTTTCTTCTTCTTACACTGGGATCCAGGAAATTCCACTCATCGTTATGTTTATATTCCACGTTCTAATGTATTGTTGTAAGTAATAAGTTGATTTCTGACAAAATGGGTGTTCAGCACTCTGAGGTTTCCAGTGGTTCACTATCGATGTAGGCTCATGACGACATTTACGATGATGTTTTCGAAAAGCTCATCAATGACTTGGATTGGATTATTTCATGCTTCAAACGAAATATTTTATCCTGTCACATTAAAACATTTATTATCACTTCTGACTTCAGCTGAGGAAGACTGTCCGCTTTTTATTTCAAAAGACCGACTGGTGAACAAAGAAAATGCTTTTTGATGACTTCATCAGCTTCTACAGTTATATGTCCACAACAGTTAAAATAATTTTGTTATTAGCAACACTAGCGTTTTATACAATTTCGATTCATTACGGTTGGTAGAATAATGTTTAAAACATGTGTATGAATTTATCAGTACACCTACTCATTTGGATCCGGTTATATGGGTCATTGCTCCAGTTACTTGTTACTCTATTCCTAGCAACATCTACTAGTTTCTTCATATATATATATATATATATATATATATATATATATACGTGCATTGAAAAGCATTAACAGGTCGACATTAGATCACCTGATCATTAAACCAGCATCATAGAATCCTCTGTTATCATCTATTGTGTACCGAATAAATTAGCAAAGGCCTCTAAATACCGAATGCTGCATACAGCGGAAGCTATAGCAATTCCTTTAAAACAACTAAAACTTTGAGTCAGACAGAGTGAAAAGACTGAACCAGTATTGTTACTCTGTCATGCTGTGGAGTCTATGAGTTCATAAATTCAACATTATTTTTCTTAAATTATTTAATGCTCACTTCAGCGTTATACTTATGCATATTATTAGATATGCATGTTTTGAACCGTAGTCTATCGATCTTAATGATCTGATGTTGTATAAAAGCATTAACGATCTCAATTATTATTATTATTATTTTTATTATTTAACTAATATGGATGTATAACTGCCAAGTTTAGTGAAGAATTTATCGAGAAGAATATTCTTCGTTTACCAATGAGTCTTTTGAGAGTTGTGATTACTAGAAATTAAGTTGAATTGCTTGTCATTTGTCTGGTTGCAGTGAAAAATTGCATAATTAAAGAACCATTGAAGACCAAAGATTACTGGACAGATATTTCGTGCTAATTTGGGACTCGCTGACTGTACGCACACATCGGGTTAAAAACCCAGGACCTCCCAAATCCAGGACAAACTCGTAGACCCGCGCTAAAATCACAAATTGGTAGAAGTTATAATTCATGAGTCATTGAGTCACTGCCCAGTGGCTGAATGGTCTACGACCTTGCCTTGTAACTGGAAGGCGCTGGGTTTGACAACCTGGAGTGTTTAATGACGATGTGTCCTAAACTCGGACGAAACAGCTATCCACCACTCCCTGGTTTTCAATTGTCCTCTAACTGATATGATATCATCAGTCCATGAGCAGACTTGAAAAACAAATCAAATGCCTACAAACCAACTATTGAAGATCGCATAATTATGTGGAAATTTTATTCTTAAATCATTGTTGGTCAGTTCAAGAACAGACTAAGATGGTGAGTTGCGTTGTCAGAGAAGTCAATACATGGTTTTGTCGACTGAATGGAAACTTCATTTCGGAGACCAATATACATTGGTATTATTCATTCATTTTAAGAAAATCGACACCTCTGGATGACGATAGACAAGGCATGTTTAGTATGTTCCACATTACTATTGTTTATATTATTATTATCATTATTAGTATTATTATCAAAATCACCCTTGTTGTTGTTGAAATGTTTGTGGCCATAGCTCATTTGCTGCACATACATGACTGACTAATACAACAAACAACCTAACTATTGTTAGTGACTTCAAACCCCCTATTTAATGTGAGCGGTAATCACGAGATGCAAATACAATATATCAACAGTGTTAATATTGCCTTTGAAAATTGTTCATTTTGTGTCACCTTTAGAATTATATGATCTAGAAAACTTGCAATCTTTTCGGGTTTCCATTGTTGGACCATGCGAAACTCATCCAACCGTCTCACGTCATTCAGTCTGCCTTTTAGTGTCACCTAGTATTCAGTAGAATCTAATATTGATTATTACTCTTCGATTACGTAATTTGTTGCGAGTGACCTGAACAATAATCAAACTGCAATCTGTCAAAAGATATTTCAAAGCAATTATCATA